AATCTTGTATACAGATTTCAATCGAGTCCTTTACTTCATGCTAATTATATGCTAATTGAGTTCAGAATCTTGCAAAGATTGTCAACTAAACGTCCTTCCATCTTTCTTTTCTTTCTTTCTTTTTTTTTTTTAAAAAAAAAGAAAAAATTAACTTAGGTAATAGCTGCTTGAAAAATATATTATTTCAACCAAAACCACCAGGTTTGTAGGAGAGTATTAAATGGTTTTTAACTTTTTATTGAAAAATCGTAGTAGTTGGGGTTGCATTAACAATGAAAGGGAATGTCCATAAAGAAAAAAAAAAAAGTGAATAAGTCTCAAATATTGTAAAATCATAAATGAAGGGAAAATTAGGTTCAGACAGCTTAAACAAAGCCAAAACTAAGAATTTGGCGCAGTAGTACTCAGATTGCTTCTAATCATACCGGTATTTGCTACCCTCACCAAAAGGCAAACTTTATTAAATTAAATTTGTTAGGGCAGATACAACTACACAATCAATGTCTCTGAGCACATGGGGAGGTGGCGGATATTCTACAATAATTACCGCGCATACAATACCCCTTGTGATACAGGTTTGATGCACTAGAAGAAAAAACAGGAGGAGCGCCAGGATTTACACAACACAGGCAAACAAAGTAGAATGCAGAATTAAAACTTTGGTTAATCTTATTTTTGTGCTGCACCAGATGACATGCAGCCACCATTCTGAAGATAAAGGCTATTGGCAACCATTGAATCACTAACCAAGCCAACATTGAGACCATCAAAATTGAGTGTGCCTCTGACCTTCCGGGTACTGAAAGCCAATCCAAACATCATCATTATTGGGACAATCACTCACAACATCTTTGATAGTTAATAGTTGTTGCCAAAGAATAGAACATACCCATTTAAGCGATTGTTGATGGCTGTCAGGTCCTTTGAAGGGCTTTGATATGCATGAGTACTCTCCCCAACACAAGCATATAAGCTTTTTGAGTTTTGTGAGATTAGAGCATCCATCTATGGACATAGGAACAAAATCTAATTAGGTAGAGGTTGTGATGTGCCTTTCAATTACCTTTGTAGGAGCAATTTAACACATTCTGTAAGTTTATTTTCACCTCACAGGTGAACCAAAATTTACTAAGTTGAACATAAGAACTTTTCCAACAATAACTTGGAGAAAAAGGAGTCTCTAGTTCCTTCAAAAGCTTTTTCATTTTCCCAGCTGATTAAACAAATGCAAAATTAAGGCTTATCAAAAAAACCAAAAAAAAGGTACAAACTTATAGGACAGGAAATTGACTACCTAGCCAACTCCATGTTGGAATAACTAGACTAATAAAAATACCTTGGATGTCCGCAGTGGAGACACATATACATTGTGTGATGCAGATACTTTCTTTGGAGACATATCAGGGAGACTTGGAAAAGGAGCAACTTTAGGTGATCCTGGAGATTGACCTGTTTGGGCAAGAACACCAAAAGAAGAAAATTATGTGGCAGCTTGCAGGAATAGCAGAGGGCACCAAAATATATCAGAATATATTGAGTATTTTTATTAAACGTGAATCAGAAGCATACCATCATTACCATTCTTGGCATCAGGAATCTGAGTAGTTTTTGTGCTTGTCCCAACAGGAGCAATTTCTACCAGCAAAGGCTTCACAGAGGGGATAAATATTTCATTGTAGAATGTAATAATATCAACATGTTCCTGCCCAGTTCTCTGTTACCAGACAATTTGATTGTTAGAATATACTAGAACAAAGTGAAGATCTATGACAGAAAAGATTAGGTATCCTACCCCATTATGCTGTGGTATTGACTGGTCAACAAACACACTTCGAAAAACTTGTGGCTTACACTGTGGTTGCTTCCTAAAGTTGTTGATAATTTCTCTAAAAGTCAGGTTCAATTGAGAAATCTGCAGCCCATTCACAGAGTAAGAGGAAATATGCAGCTAAATTGAACAGCAGCTATAAATGTGATTAGTTGCTAGCAGCAGACCTTTGCTACTCCATAAAAACAACAGAGGATGATCTGGTCAATATGACGGTTAAAGAAGAGAGATGTTCGCTGACTAAGGATTTGTTGAAAAAGACAATAGATACTTTCCCTTATCTGTTGAGACAATTCGAGCCTTTCAACCATTCCATTAATCCTAACAGCAGCCAACTTATTAATCTACACAGTGCAACATGTTAGAACCAAACCAGAAAAATAATCATCAAATCAGTAAATTCAAAAATTAGAGCATATGGCATACTGGACATCAGATCAACTTATTCATAGAAAATTTACCCAAGTAGAGCTATTGGTTGAAATTTTAGTACTAGAATAGATGGATAGGGCTAATCCATAAAACCATGAGGCCTTGGTATGGGGACCTCAGGTTAAATTAAATTCCCTCCACCATGCAGGTTATTTTCCAACTTCATGTTGGTTCCTTGTAATTAGTAATTTGGTTAGTTACTTGATTATACAGCTATTTGTATGACTTATTGATTTGAATTTAATGAGATTTTTGTGCTCCCCATATAAGAAAAAGAAAAAAGGCTCATCCTTATACACAAGTGAAAATTTAAACAAAAAGATGAGAACTATAGAGTTTCATGGGTTTAATACCTTGCCAAAGAATATATTGATTCCAGTTTCTGCACACGTTTCCCCTCCACCACCTGGGTTAGGCCGTGTTGGACTGAAGAAACAGATGTCCAAAAAAGAAAATACAGTAACACAGCAGAAAGAGTTCAAGTTTGTAAATCCTGCCTTGGAAACTACATCAAACAATACCTGGCAAATGCAGATTGCAAGGGTGCCTTTGATTTATTGGTCAATGCTAGAAGGCGATCCTTCACTGGTGATGAAAAAGAGTTCCTCTCCACCAAGACACTCCTGAAGTCTGTGCATGGTCTCTTGGGAGATCTTGTATCCCCATTTTGACCTGAAAAAGGTAACGTGAATGTCTGTCAATTTGAAGATATTATTGTATAAGTGACTTAAGGAAAGAAGTAAACTATTATGAATCCTATAAGACAAGATACTAACATTATAATTCACCAAGCAAATAAATGCACTTGTCACAAACTTTTCCATGATAAACTGGGACACCAATATTGCATACCTAAGATTGAGCTGCCAACATGGTCACGTGAGGTTTCACACTTCTGTGAAGGAGAATTAGTGGACAGGCCTCCAGAAGAAAAGTTAATGTGCATGGCAATTGCATCCAAAGATGGCATTGGTTCTGCTAATAACCCAAGATGATTTATTTCTCCAGATAAGGCTGGTCTTGCAACTATCAAAGAATTGTACATAGAAGATCCTTTCTCCCACACCATGCTCTCCAAAAGTCTCTCTTCCAGAGAATTCAGATGCCTCCTCAACTCTCTTGGTAGAGATACCTCATGTCTAATGAAACTCTCTATCACCTTGCTAAGATCAAAAGCTGTGATACCTGTTCTCTCCAGAACTGCCAGAAACAACATTGTGACAGTTTTATGTGTCGCTAGCACTAGTTCTGCAGAACAAGCAAGCATGCATCTATGGAATCTTTCGTTAGTTAACAAAGAGGTCAAATTAGTTGCATGTAAAATTTGAGCCTCTGCCATACACATTGCTTCCAGAACCCTATAATATAACTTGAGAGCTTCCAATCTCCTTTGTTCAGCCCATAAATTGTCCATCAGGTTTGTGCCTTGTAGGCTTCTGGCTACGCAATGCTCACTCAGAGCACTACTTGGAAATATGGCTGCTAATATTATCTGTGCCCTACGTGTAACATCATTGGTGACATCCTTATCACAAGAGGACAGAAAACGCCGTAACTCTGCTGAAGGTTCTGATGGAAGTGGAGAAATGAAAGTACGAAGCCACTTCGCCATTGCCATTGCTGTGCTTATGGGTGTAGCTGCCATCCTTGAATTAGAAGCTGCTGGAATGCCATTTGCATGAGATGCAGCAGGAGAATGATAAGGAGACAGTGGACTTGAGATTGTCTTTGTTGGTGAAGCTAATGAATCAAATTTCCTCTACCCAAAATAGAATAAACAACATGTTTATATTGAGTGACCTCTATGTAAAGCATAAATGCCAACATAAAAAGAAAAAAAAAAAGAAAAGAAAAGAAAAGAAAAAAGAAACTAAAGTAAAAAAAATTCCTCTTACGAACAACGGCAAAGAATGGGTTTTCATTATTAACACATACCTTCATGCCAGATGCATTTACAGCACCTGCAGACAAGCTCCCAGAACCCAGTAAGCTATCATCGTCATTAATGAATACCCTCTCATCCAGTTCACTGTTGTTACAAATTGCATCATCATAATCTTTTTCTAAAATATTCAAACTGGATGAAAGAGATGGCTCCTCCATTAGGCCTTCAAAGTAGATCAAACCGTCTGTACATAGAAGATTGGATTATTTATTTAGTTTAAGCATTAAAGCATAATTTCCAAATTATAGATCTCATGAGTTATCAAACTTACCTGTGTCAATGTTTCCTAGGGTCTCAGTTTTACACTCAGATGCAGCACTGGGCTCCTTCTTCAATATATCTTCTATTAAGTGATTAACTTTCTCCATTGTTTTCCTCAAGTCATCTTCTGAAGCATCAAACATGTTGCAAAGTGATGCTAGCAAGTCTACTCCTTTTTCACCTTTCCTAACTGAACCAAATGTTAAAGAAATCAGCAAGTTAAAGATTGTTGGGTTCTCATCACTTCATAGGATTAAACACCAAAGAATAATGAAAAAAAGAAAAATACTCTTCTTCGTTCAAAATGACAAATAATAAATTCAAGATTAACCACTAAAGGAACAGAAATTACCAAAGCGTGAAGAGTCACGGATGTTGAAATTTCTGAAGCGAGTGGGAACATGTATAATTAAAACAGCCTGTTGCATATCACGTCACACGGTAAGAATACATGCTTTTATACTGGTTTATGCATCTGGTAAAACAGAACTTTTGTTTCTTTTGAAAGAACATTAAGAGTCTTTTAGATCCTGGTCTCCTTTAGTTAATTAGAGCATTTTACTCTGTAAATTCTTTCTAAATATCCAACACCTTATTGAAAACTGATCTACTGTCCTAGCATCAGTAAACAATAAATAAAGTGGCAGAAGATTGTAACTGACCAGTATAGAAACAAAACCATTTGTGCACCTCACTAGGTCTATAGAACGGCTGAAAGCATGTACACGGAGTGCCAAAAACAGCAACCACCCAAATCGATGGTACTCCAATACTGGATCAGTGGCACAGTTGGCATCTGGATTCTTGTCTAAGTTTGTGTTACTTGTTACAAAGAACTCCCAAAATGCCAGCTTATAGGACCTTATATCATTAAATGGTACAATGTAATTCCATATAAACTTGAAAAGATATTTTAAAAATACAGCCAAATCATATTTAGAGGATAAATGGATGCTAAAAAAATATTTAAGGAAGAATGAAAAGATAAGATTGTTCATTTTTCTTCAATTTTTTCCTCCTTGATGAACTTACTAACAATGCATTCAACCAGACACCATGGATGCCAAGAAAGCCAATGTGAGGGACACAAAGCCCCAATTCCTAGAGTTCGCTAAGAACTTTCAACAAAATTTTAGAGCAAATAAGACAACAGACACTTGAATTTTTCTAAAAAGACAAAGAAATTAATTAATAATAGATGAACTCAAAACTCTAATACCATTGATCTGAATATACAAACTGCAATAATTACTTGGAACAGAAACATGAAAAAGAAGGAACACCTACTTGCTAAAAAGGCTTAAAAGGCTCAAGTGAACAAAATTTGTCTGCAACTCCTTTACCTGATAGGTCAAAATAAAATCAGATGACTATTCTCGGAAAGTGTGTGCTAACCACAAGCAAATAGAATATAAATCCCCATTTTTTGTACCTCAAGTTTGTTCTCCCAATCTTCACCAAAAAGGTTACTTAAAACAGGGCCAGCATTTACCACAAACTGAGGTAGCTCTTTAAAGAAATCCACAATACTGCAAGAAATGCATGAAGCTGAAAAACATTAGAATAGAAGTTCCTGTTCAAGACCACCCAAACTTACACCAGAGGTAAGAGTATCATACTTCAGCTTTACAGCTCTAAGTATCTGGTGTAAAGTAAACTTATTATCACCCTGCTGCACACTTTCTGCTGTTTTCTGACTTAGCCGTTTTATGGAATACAGTACAAATGCAAACCAAAACCGCTCAGCTTCTTCCACCTAATGCAGACAAGTGCAATCAGTTACAAAAGACACTCATATTTCATATTTCACATTCCACATCAAAGTTTAAACAAACTCATCCTTCAAAATGTTAGAAGTACATACTGCTCCACTTCCAATTGTCAGGACATTAGCTGGTAGAAGGTTTTTGGTTTCTTTGAATAAATTCATAGCGTCATTGAAAGCATTCTCATGCAATGATAACCCATTCTGCATTCAAAACCAAATTTTCAAATAACATGAAAAAAGGCAGTATAGAAGCAACAATACAGAAAATCAAGACTTTTAAAGGTCAAAATACGAAATTTCAAATCAAAGAACAGACCTTGCACAAGTCAGTGAATCTAGCTTCAATAGCATTGCTGTCACTCCTGTTCGTTTGTGAATCACCAGATGTTGCAACTGCAGGCTTCGACTCTTCCATAGTCTTCAAAGCAGCTAGAATTGTATAACTACACAACACCTAGGCAATGAACTTTAATTTTCCATTAAAGATTTCAACTTGTTCCAATTAAACAAAAATAAAAATAAGCTGATTCATGATAAAGATAGTAAAGGCCGATTAAAAAATAAATAAAGGCAGAAACTGCACCTGAAAATAAATATATACATACCACAAAATCCTAGAAAATAATTTCTCCAAGGAAGAAAATACCACCACTTCAGTCAGCATTTTTTTAACAAATTATTTTTTTTTTTCCAAAATCACAGACAAATTTACTCCCAGAAATGCAAGTAAACAGCTGGTGAACTAATCTGCAGCTAAAAAATTCCAAAAAGAAATGAACAGAAAAATGGAAAGGAGGAAAACTTACAAATGTCCAGTAATCGAAATCCCACTGATCTGTAGATCCAAAAATCAAAGGGCGCGGCAGCTCTGGCAACCCCGGAAACGGTGGAGATTCAGCAGATCGATCGTAAGGAAAACAGCCAGAGGGATTTCGCTTAGAACCCTAAGATTGTCCCTCTCTTTTTTCTCTCTCTCTCTACACTTTAGGCCTCTTTTTGCGGGGAAACCCTATCGGAATCCATCTAGCGCGGGAAAAACAACATGTATGATGGCATGCTGATGACATGGTGTGGCACATGACATACATAGGAGCCAATGGGAATGCGCCACGTCGTGATGTTGAGGATCATTTTACCGCCAAAATCTTCCCACCGTTTCGAGATTCGCCCATGGGAAGTAGATTTGCCGTTACGGTGGGTAGGTGACGGCGGGACGCTGACTCGGACACGGAAATTGGGTGGGCCCAGGACTTGAGTAGGTTGTGGGCCCACTTGGGTTCGCTGTCGCCTGTCGTTTAGTTGATGGGCTCGTGTCGTTTACAGTTTGGGGTGAGTTATAGTGTGTGGGAATCCTTTTCGCCTTACGGTGAGCTTTCCCCTGTTTGGGTAAACTTTCCATTTTGGGTTGTGGACCGGACCCACTTAGGTTGGGCGCGGGAAAAACTTCCCGCCCAGAACCGGAAAAAGTGAAGGCCCAAAACCAAGGCCCAGATATAATTCGAACTCCTTAAATTGCGCCTGGGTAACAGAGTTAACACTCTCCATTTCTCACCGACTAAAAAAAAAAAAAAAAAGAAAAACAACGGAACAAGGACGAAGATTAGCGCCTTCTCCATTTCTAGGGTTTTCGACATTGGAGGGCAGAAGCCATTCTTCCTCTTCCGAGGTTGCTCACAGTAAGGTAATTTCGCCTTCATATCCTTTTCTTCTTCTCTAGCTCTCTGATGATATGCGATATCTTCTTAATTAACGAACTGTTTCGGTGGAAGCATTGTTTTTTCTCTCAAAATTCGATGGCAACATGGTTAAATTTGGAGATTGCTGTTGGGTTTTTCTATTGGAGAGAAATCTGCCGTTTTTTTGTTTTCATTATGGTTATGCGGTTGTATTGGGAGCTTTTATGCTTATTTTTTCTTGTTATTGGATGGGTTTTGGGTGGTTTCCGGCGTGTATCCGCCGTGATGGGTGGGAATTGGGTACCGGTATGATGCTAAATGATGGGGTTTTATGGGGTGGTGGCAGTGCTTCTTAGTGGTAGCCATAGATTTTCCTCCTCCGAAGGAGATTTGCAACCCTAAAACTGAAAACCCTAACCCTAAGGTAGTAGAAACTACTATTCCCTTAGTTTGGGGACTGCAAGCTGCAATTCTAGTTTGAATTGGAATGGTTTGATTTTCCAGTTGTTCTATAAATTGTAAATAAAAATTGTACCATTCTCTTAGTTTAGACTTTAGAGATTTGCTAGCTGCAACCCTAACCTTAAGGGAGTACACTTAAAATTCCATAGTGTTTGTAAGTTTAGTTAGGAACCGAACATTCAGTCTACAAGTAAGATCTAATGTTCCTTTCTTTCTTTTTTTTCCTAATTTCGTTCATTGGTTTCATTTTATTCAAATATTCTCAATTAGACAGAGTAAAACAGGAGTAGTAATTAAATAATTAAATGAATAGGTGAGTGAAGGCCAAAAAATGGGAAAAAAAAAACAGAGAATAGGTGAGTATTGCCCAATTAGATATGTGTTTTTGAGTGAGAAGATAAGAATTGCCTGCTAATCTTCTTCATCTGCTTTTCTTAGATAACCATAGGGTCTTCAGATAAATGACAAAACAAACCTTGAAAGAGGAGTATCCTTAGAACTTAGAAGTGTTCAGTTTGACAAATTTCTGTCCATAATTTTATTTATTTATTTTGTTTTTTTTGTTTTCCATCTTCTTCTTTTTTTCTTTCTTTCAGAAAAGTTGCAGACCTTCTAGGTTTCAATGGCTGATCAACGGAATGCCAATGGCCAACCTCCTAATGGGACTTCCACAGGAGCAGTGAATGCTTACTCAATTAATTTAGAATATTTTAGCAAGCGGTTGAAGGCATTGTATACACATTGGAATCATCACAAGTCTGATCTCTGGAGCTCGTCTGATGTCCTTGCCATAGCAACACCACCAGCTTCAGAGGACCTGCGGTACCTGAAATCCTCAGCCTTAAATATATGGTTGCTAGGTTATGAGTTTCCTGAGACGATAATGGTTTTCACAAAGAAGCAGATTCATTTCCTCTGTAGCCAGAAGAAGGCTTCCTTGCTTGAAGTTGTGAAGAAATCTGCGAAGGAGGCTGTGGGTGTAGATGTTGTGATGTATGTGAAAGCAAAGAATGATGATGGGACCTCACAGATGGATGCTATATTCCGGGCTATCCATGCACAGTCAAAGGGAGATGGAAATGATGCTCCTGTTGTTGGCTACATTGCAAGGGAGGACCCTGAAGGGAAACTTTTGGAGACATGGTCTGGGAAACTAAAGAGTGCAAGTATTCATCTAATGGATGTATCCAATGGCTTGTCTGATCTGTTTGCTGTTAAGGACCAACATGAGCTTTTGAATGTGAAGAAAGCTGCTTACTTAGCTTACAGCGTGATGAAGAATGTTGTGGTTCCAAAGCTTGAGAATGTCATTGATGAGGAAAAGAAAGTGACTCACGCAGCCTTGATGGATGAGGCAGAGAAGGCTATATTAGAACCTTCCAAAGCTAAAGTAAAGCTTAAGGCAGAGAATGTTGATATATGTTATCCTCCAATTTTCCAGAGTGGGGGTCAGTTTGATCTCAAACCTAGTGCTCAAAGCAATGATGATTTTTTGTACTACGATTCTGCCAGTGTTATCATCTGTGCAGTTGGAGCTCGCTATAACAGTTATTGCTCAAACATTGCCAGGACTTTAATGATTGATGCCAATTCTCTGCAGACTAAAGCATATGAAGTTCTTCTTAAGGCCCATGAAGCAGCAATAGGTGCATTGAAACCTGGGAACAAGGTCAGTGCTGTTTATCAAGCGGCCCTCTCAGTGGTTGAGAAAGATGCTCCTGAATTGGTTCCCAATCTAACAAAATCAGCTGGGACAGGCATGGGTCTTGAGTTCCGTGAGTCAGGCCTTAATCTTAATGCCAAGAATGATCGAATGGTGAAAGCCGGAATGGTTTTTAATGTATCACTTGGTTTCCAAAACTTAAAGTGTGGGACTGAGAACCCAAAAAACCAGAATTTTTCTCTCTTGATTGCAGATACAGTTATTATTGATGAACAGAATGTGGATGTTGTGACTGGGAAAAGCTCTAAAGCTGTTAAGGATGTGGCGTACTCATTTAATGAAGATGAGGAGGAAGTAGAAAGGCCTAAAGTGAGAGCTGAAGCCAATGGAACTGACCCCTTTATGTCTAAGACCACGCTTAGATCAGATAATCATGAGGTCTCAAAGGAAGAGCTAAGGAGACAGCACCAGGCAGAACTTGCACGGCAGAAGAATGAAGAAACAGCAAGACGACTTGCTGGTGGGGGAACTGGGGCAGGAGATAATCGAGCTGCTGCTAAGGCTTCAACTGATTTGATTGCCTATAAGAATGTCAACGACCTTTCCCTTCCTAAAGATCTCATGATTCAGATTGACCAGAAGAATGAAGCTGTACTTTTGCCCATATATGGCAGTATGGTTCCTTTCCATGTTGCTACTATAAGGACAGTTTCTAGCCAGCAGGATACTAATCGTAATTGCTTTATTCGGATAATATTTAATGTACCTGGTACCCCTTTTAATCCTCACGATGCCAACTCCTTGAAAAACCAAGGGGCTATTTATCTTAAGGAGGTCTCATTTCGCTCCAAGGATCCAAGGCACATAAGTGAAGTGGTGCAGCTGATTAAAACGCTCAGACGGCAAGTCATGGCCAGGGAGTCAGAAAGAGCAGAGAGGGCAACCTTGGTTACCCAAGAGAAACTCCAACTTGCTGGGAACAGGTTCAAGCCTATTAGACTGCTGGACCTTTGGATTCGTCCTGTTTTTGGTGGTCGAGGGAGAAAGATTCCCGGAGCACTTGAAGCTCATGTTAATGGTTTTCGATATTCTACCTCTAGGGCTGATGAACGTGTGGACATTATGTATGGAAACATAAAGCATGCATTTTTCCAGCCTGCAGAGAAAGAGATGATTACTCTCCTTCATTTTCACCTTCACAATCACATAATGGTGGGAAACAAGAAAACAAAGGATGTGCAGTTTTATGTTGAAGTGATGGATGTGGTCCAGACATTGGGAGGGGGAAAGAGGTCTGCCTATGACCCTGACGAGATTGAAGAAGAACAGAGGGAGAGGGACAGGAAGAACAAGATCAACATGGATTTCCAGAGCTTTGTGAATCGGGTGAATGATCTCTGGGGTCAGCCCCAATTTAATGGGCTTGACCTTGAGTTTGATCAGCCTCTCAGGGAACTTGGCTTCCATGGGGTGCCACACAAAGCCTCAGCTTTCATTGTGCCAACCTCAAGCTGTCTAGTTGAGCTAATAGAGACTCCTTTCCTAGTGATCACCTTAAGTGAGATTGAGATTGTGAACCTGGAGAGGGTTGGTCTTGGGCAGAAAAATTTTGACATGACCATTGTCTTCAAGGACTTCAAGCGAGATGTGCTTAGGATTGATTCCATACCTTCAACTTCACTTGATGGTATTAAAGAGTGGCTGGACACAACAGACATTAAGTATTATGAGAGTAGGTTGAATCTGAATTGGCGGCAGATATTGAAGACAATTACTGATGACCCCCAGAGCTTCATAGAAAATGGTGGTTGGGAGTTCTTGAACTTGGAAGCTAGTGATTCAGATTCTGAGAACTCAGAAGAGTCAGATCAGGGTTATGAGCCATCTGATGTGGAGCCTGAGTCCGAGTCAGAGGATGATGCTTCTGATAGCGAGTCATTGGTGGAGTCTGAAGACGAAGAAGAGGAGGATTCCGAGGAAGACTCAGAGGAAGAGAAAGGGAAGACATGGGAAGAGTTGGAAAGAGAAGCTAGCAATGCAGATAGAGAGAAAGGGGATGATTCAGACAGTGAGGAGGAGAGAAAGAGAAGAAAGATGAAGGCTTTTGGGAAGTCTCGTGCTGCCCCGAGCAGCAGTATTCGAAAGCGTGCCAAGCTGAGATAGATTTAGTCTACTATGTCCTAATCTCTTTGTTATTTTCTTTTGACAGTTGAACATGCTCTATTGTAGTAGCTGTGGGCTTTAATAGAACGTGGTTTCTGATTTCTGATTGGAACTTTAATGAGTTTAATCTAGTGATAGCTTTATATTAGGATCTTGTTATGTATTTGGCACCGGTTGAACTTGTCCGGCAGACAAGATTTTGGCTGTAAATTGATTGAATTGGCTCAGTATATTACTAAAGGTTGCTAGATGATGACATCTGATCTGGTGTGTCTGTTCAGTATGTGCACTTACTGCTACCGTTTAGAAACTAGGTTTATTTTTGGTACCAGCCTGCTAAAGATGTTTAGGTAGGAGGTCCATTGTCATTTTTTTTTTCTGGTTAGAAATTTAGAATGCAATAATGAAATGATAAAAGCTACTGTACTTAATTGGCAAAATAAATGGAAGACTAAAAAAGAACAAACTCAGGAAAATCTCATAAACTCTTATGCATACAACTCAGAAGAGAAATGATAATGATCCTGATACAAGGTAACTATTTTATTAAATTTTGCAAGGCAAGTAGCCCTCAACTTCTGATAGCAAAGCCTGATCCAACTAGCTGGTGTACAAAAGCTCGTTCACTCATTATGTAGTATACAATACAAGAGGAATTCCTCGAAATCGAAAGCTTAATCATTGCAAGGCATAATACTTCCTGCTGCTGCTAACAAGTATCAAAAACCTGCCTCCTCCTGCTGCTGCTAACAAGTATCAAAAACCTGCCTCCTCCTGCCGCTGCTACTAACACTGTCAGCAGCATCATTGCTTAATATTCTTCAAGTACCACTTGTAAGTATCAACAAGCCCATCTTTCAAAGAAATCTTGGGGCTCCACCCCAAATTTGCTAGCTTTGAGCTATCCATGAGCTTCCTGGGAGTCCCATCTGGCTTTGAAGTATCCCAAACAAGCTCCCCCTCGAACCCCACAACTTCCTTCACCAGCTCTGCCAATTCCTTAATGCTCACCTCCTTCCCACTTCCTACATTCACATGCTCAAATCCACTATACTCCTCCATCAAGAACACCACTGCATCAGCCAAATCATCAACGTGCAAAAACTCCCTCAAAGGACTCCCTGTCCCCCACACCACCACCTGTTTTGCGCCCTCAACCTTAGCTTCATGAAATCTTCGAATCAAAGCAGGCAATACATGAGAGTTTTCCGGATGAAAGTTGTCATTGGGACCGTACAAGTTGGTGGGCATGGCGGATATAGCATCAAATTTGTACTGGATCCTGTATGCCTGGCACATTTTGATACCGGCGATTTTAGCCACCGCGTACCACTCGTTGGTGGGCTCCAACGGACTAGAGAGGAGCGCATTCTCTGGGATCGGCTGCGGGGCGAATTTGGGATAAATACACGAAGAACCAAGGAAAAGGATCTTCTTAACGCCGTGGCGATACGATGAATCGATGACATTGGTCTGGATTTGGAGGTTTACCGCAATGAAGTCGGCGGGGTAGGTGTTGTTGGCGTGGATGCCTCCCACTTTTGCTGCCGCGAGTATGACATACAGGGGCTTCTCGGCGGCGAATAATGACTCCACGTCAGACTGGAGGGTAAGGTCTAGTTCGGCGTGGGTTCGGAGGAGGAGGTTGGTGAAGCCGAGGGACTGAAGCTTCCGGACGATGGCTGAACCGACTAGGCCACGGTGGCCTGCCACGAAGACCTTGGCCGCTTGGTTTGAGAAAAAGGAATCTGTAAAAATTGAAAGACAAGATAAAAAGGGTGAAAAAAAACGAGATGAAAATTTCTGGGATCTGAGGAAAGTACAGAGCTTTACCATTCTCCGCCATTGCTATGTCAAAATGAATCCCGAGCGAGCCAAGGAGACTCTTCTAAAATTGCGTTTTGAAATTGGGATTTCAATGGAATTGAGTGATGAATGTTGAGCTGAATTTGCCTGAAATAAATTAGTTACTAATATAGAAATCGAAAATGGGTTGCAGGGTATGCAATTCAACCGTTGAATGGGAAGCACACCCCTAATATTAAAAATTGTTTCTGGATCTAACTATTTCTGCTTTATAATATGTTATAATTGACCTATTTTTATTTTGTGCTACGTTATAGTTCAAAAGCTGCCTAAAGCATATGCGTACCAACACTAACATGTGCAGGAAATTTCCTCTGTTAAGAAACAACTAAACAGGCCAAACAAAAGTACGAAGCTTCGTCTATAAAAAAATGTCGGTCATTCAATTTGCCTTGTACCCAAAAAATAAAAAAAAAAAAAAAAGGAGAAAAAATCAACAACATATGATAATGATACCTTAACAAGAAAATAAGTTATATATGGAAAATATAAACCATCACAAACATAGGAATAATATGAAAAATAAATATATATATTGAATGTTTAATGTTTACAAGCATAGGTGATGCAATTGTGGCTGCTCTGCTCTGCGCTGCTCCCATGTCCATTGGTATTTAGCCTGGAGTTTATATCTTAATTGTTTCTAGATACATGCTTGTCTAGAAATGCCTTGGCAAGATTACTGAAGCTTGTGCTTACGGCTTCTGCTGCAGCATATCTCTCGATGACGTCCATCACTTCTGGCTTTAGGATCTCATCCTTGTTAGCCTGGTCACATTGATAATAAAGAGCTCCCAGAGCATAATTCACCTGCCCAAAGAAGAACATTTAACATGTCATAAGAAAGCTAAACTTACATGCTCTTTTAAAGTGGATAACATTCCTACTTACAGTGTTCCTAACAGGGCTTGATAAACATTGAATGATAAGAGGGATACCACCACTCTGAGTGATAATAGCAGAATTTATTGGATCTGTGGAAGATATTTGCTGGTGCTTAGTCAGTCATTCAAAGGAAAACCCTGTTGTACAACACTAGAACTTCCAAGTTGATTATATAGCTCAGCTTACCTACACAAGAATTGCAGATCCCTCCCATGCCATATTCCACAAGTTTCTCATTTGGTTCTGTTATGCAGTCTAGGAAGAGTTCCAAAACATTGAGCTGTTTGAAAGTTAGATTTTGACATGGAAAACTTAAAATAAGACCGTAGTTAAAGTTTATAGGAAAATTTTTACAGAAAATATAAGTTCTCAACCTGGCGTAAGAAGGGATAATTATATGGATCATAAGCAAAGTTCCCCAGGTTTGCAACAATCTTCTCTTTTGTTTCTGTTAAGACAAGAACCGACTCACCAGATATGTTAGCTTAGAATAGAATGTTGCTACTACGGCATATTACAAAGAACCAAACACTGTTGCTCAAATGATAAACCAAAAATTTCCCTAAAATTGAATCTCCTCATCAACTAGACAAATATATAGTTCATAGAAACCAGAAAACTAGACTCAATCATGTTTTGACCTTTAACTCTGTTAAAGTTGATCACAAATAGAAGCAGGATATAAAGACATCAATACTCCAGATTCCAGAATCTAAAATGTAACTGCAGTAGTAAAAGAGTTCAATAAGTACAAGTTTAGCCTGACAATTCATCACAAAAAGCTTTTAGAAAACTAAAATCAACCACATGAAATTCCTAACAATGAAAATGCAGCCAGATTAGACAAACATAGGTTGAGTTACAAATTCAATTAAGAGCCAAATCTCACATATTAGGATGACCAAAGATTAGAAACAATCAAAGAGGTATATCTAAAAACCACTTTATCTGAATGCAGGGTACCTTCATCACTTGCATTCTGAAACTGACTCACCAATTCCTGGAATGAAATGGGAAAACATGTATGAGTGAATTACTTTCATATTTGCTCTTTTAGCATGGAATTACAGTCCCCAAAAAGTTGCTGCATTTAATTCAAGGGTTTGTCTAACCTGTGACCTTAAGCGCTTTGATTGCCAAAAACACCAATTACACATGCATGATTTTAATTGGGCCAATGATAAAATTGAAGTCAATATTTTATTGTATTTTTATAACAATTAAGGATAGAAAAACATTAAACCATCTTTAGTCCACAATTAAAATTCAAAAGAAGGCCAAAGAAGTGGCTGAAAAGAAAGTTAAGGAAATCTCAGTTGCCCTGGACTCAGTAACTGCAGAGCTATAAAAAGAGAAGCAGGCCAGCAGGCCAGCAGGTCAGCAATGAACTTGGCAAAGAGGGCTGGCAAGGAAAATGTGGCAACAAAACGAGCCATACAATCATTGGGGTGCAAGGCTCACTTTGCAAGCAGTGGTGATTGTACAGTTAATGTTGAAAGCAACCCAGCGGATTAAAATTCAATTGAAAAGAAATAATTACAAAGGGGTTTACATTTAAACCCCCCCACAAAAAAAAGATCTAAAAAAGGTGTACAAATAACCTGAAGGTATTGCAGCCTTGGGGTTCCATATTTTCCAGTTCGCTCTTCTTGCCTCTGTTTATTGGTGAACATCTAGACTATTAGCAAAGCTCGAGTTTTGCTTTAAAGAAAGCTTCTTTTGTAAGAAAAGCGTTCTCCTTCCTATCAGACTGCTTCACAGGCCGGCGATGGCAAAGAGGGTCTACGCCGGAACAACCAACAGGATGAAAAAGGACCGCCCTCAGCACGACGTTAGAGATTTTACCATTTTTCTTGGGTGATTGTTGGTGGGTCCTAAAACGATGCCGTCTAAATAACGGACATAGTTGAAGCCCACGACGACCGGCGGAAAAAGGAGGTTCACTGTACTTTGGGCCAACGTAAAAAGGTCCACTAGACAACCCAATGGGCCAACGTTGAGCTGAGCTGAGCAGGAACCACGAAAGCAGCAGGGGTGCAGGGCGTTGTTTTCTATTGAGTGTTCATCAGCTGTGTGGTTGCTCCGCTCAGGCCCCGATCTCCTCCGCGGCAAACCTCCGGCCTCCTCCATCGCTTGAGCTGTGTAACGCACCGGAAACGTGAAGAACAGCAGCGCCTGGGAGGTAATTTACGTCTCTCCGTCTCTGCTACTAATTGATTAGCTGTTTGTACTTCAATTATTAGAGCAGAAGTCTAAGAAAAAAAAAAAATCCTTGGGATGGTTTCCGGTAAACTTTCGAAGTGGAATTTTAAAAAATGAAGAATTGTGAAAATGTTTTTTTTTTTTTCTTTCTTTTTTAAATCAGGGTAAGCTTTAGGCATTCGTTTGTTGGGGCTGGCGTTTTAGGAGTTGGCTTTTTGCTTCTGAGAAGACGAGTTCCTGCGATTTCAAGCCTAATTTCAATTTATTTAGGGAAAATGAAAGTCTGTATATTTTATCTTAAGGTGATCTTTTCATTTCCTTGTTGGTCATCCAGAATTGTTGGCATTTCTGCTACAAATTGGACCTAAATCTTCAGCATGGTATGCCTTTTCTCTTTCATTATTGTATAGTTTTCTTTTTCTCCTAATTCATAGCTTCAAGTTCAGAGACTTAATATGTGTTCTTTGGTCTCTAATTTTTCATCAAATTTATTATTTTTCTTAACAAAACTGCTTTACTTGGGAATTCATTTCTTATTTTTAACTGTTTTACTTGTGATTCTCAGGAAGAGTTCAAGAGGGTCATTCTACAGTCTGGACCACCTGAAAGTTTCGCTCTTCAGGCAGTTCAAGAGGTTATAAAACCTCAGGTATTTGCTACACATCCATTCGTTTGAGAATTGAACAATTTCAGTTTTAAGCAACGCCTTTACTGTTTTGTATTATGCAAGTGTGAGAAGGCATTTTATCTAGTATTTTAGGTCTAAAGTTTAGCAGTTATGTTAGCTGATCCTTGGATTTTTGTCTGATAGCATGAGTGTATGTGATTTGCTGTGATTTTCTGAGTTAGTTCTTGTCGTTGGCAGAAACAAACAAAATTAGCACAAGATGAGAATCAATTGCTCGAGAATATGCTTCGAACATTGCTTCAGGAATTGGTGGTATGTATATCTGGTGTTTAAAACAATTTTATAAATCATTAAAGTGCCTACTTCATTGGCCTCAACCCCTTTTCCTTTTTCTGCTTTATTGCAGTCATCAGCTGTACAGTCAGGTGAGGAAATCATGCAGTATGGAAAATCAATTGATGATGGAGAAAATACTCAGGGTGTCATCCCACACCTTCTAGGTATGTAAATTCTTTTAACTTAGATTCTCTCTCAGGTACGTGCATGTTTATACAATATCAAAACAGACACATATTTATCACTTATCCTTTTGTTCCTGTCAGACATTGTTCTCTATCTTTGTGAGAAGGAACATGTTGAGGGTGGCATGATATTTCAGCTGCTAGAAGACTTGACAGAGATGTCTACAATGAGAAATTGCAAAGACATTTTCCGGTATATAGAGAGTAAGCAAGACATACTGGGGAAGGTGTGTTTAAACAATTGGTTAAAGTTTCCCTATTCCTTTGCAACTGCTCTAGATCCTCTAATGCATGGCACATATACCATGCCTTGACCCGTATCCTGGGTGTGTTTGTCACAGCAAGAGCTGTTTGCTCGAGGAAAACTTGTAATGCTGAGAACATGCAATCAACTTCTTCGCCGGCTGTCAAAGGTAGTTAACATACTTAATAAGCTCCTTTTTTAATTGATCTCCCCACACCAGCAATTGTTCACTTTTTCATTTCTTAACCAAAAATACTGAGAGTGGTTACAATGTGCTTGACTGTTGTATTGTTTAAAATCTGCATGGATTTTTTACTAACACAATCACACTTGTCTTTATAGGCGAATGATGTGGTATTTTGTGGACGAATCCTTATGTTTCTGGCACATTTCTTTCCACTTTCTGAACGTTCAGGTATTTCTTTTTCCACCCACTGCCCTACAGTATGTATGCTGACTTTTATTGCTTTTCCCTTTTCCTTTCCTCCCACCTTTTTTCTCTCACTTCAAATTTTCTTGCAGCTGTGAATATAAAAGGAATTTTTAACACATCAAATGAGACAAAATATGAGAAAGATCCACCTGAAGGTATATTCAAGCTAACTCTCTTTTCCTCATATTCTAGCTTGTATTTTCTTCTTTTATGTCCATGGAGTTCCTGCTTTGGCACAGAAGCTGATTCATGTTCATGCTTTTATTAGGCATTTCTGTTGATTTCAACTTTTACAAAACATTTTGGAGTTTACAGGTAATGTGCCATTTGAAACTATAGCTAGTGGAAGAGTTACTATTCTCTCCCCTGGTATATTTTTGGATGTAAATTCCAGGATCTTTGTGCAATAGCCATTTAAAATAGCTGCATGTTATTCTAAAATCCAATACCAAATAAACTGTTGTGTTCAAATGAACATCTATGATATAAGAGATGAAATGGTTCGTTATGTAATTCTCATGATACCAGAACTTCAGAACTTTGATCCTCTCTTTGGAACATACCATCAAGGTTGTTTTCATTGCACCTGACAGTTGCAGTGGCTATACGCTTGCCTAGAAATAAATATAAAATTTCTTGTACTTCAGCTAATATTCCTACTGAATTTCCTTGTTTGGTTTTCAGGAATACTTCTGTAACCCTGCTTCCCTTACTCTTGCTCCTGTAAAGTGGCAGAAATTCACATCTAGTTTGACAGTATGCCTTTTCTATATCATTATTTTCTGTTCAATTGACATGAACATTGCTTTGTTTTTTAATAAATACCCATTTACCATACTTTTAACTTATTTGCCTTGTGTCAACTTGGTCCATGAAATTTGAGATCTGTAGGTTGTGTTGAATACCTTTGAAGCTCAGCCTTTGAGTGATGAAGATGGACATGCTAACATTCTGGAGGAAGAGGCAGCAACGTTTAATATAAAATATCTAACAAGCAGTAACCTGATGGGTTTAGAGGTAAGCATCATTGAAAATGATTGAGAAGCAATCAATGCAAAATATTTGGGTTAACAAAATTCTTTTTGCTGGAAACAGTTAAAAGATCCCAGTTTTCGACGCCATATTCTGGTGCAATGCCTCATAGTGTTTGATTATCTGAAGGTAATGACTGCTAAATTTGAATTCTTTTCATGTATTCAATATTTCCACCCTGCAAGTTATTTATATCTATTAGTTCTCTATTTTCTTCTAGGCCCCAGGGAAGAATGACAAAGATTCATCTGAAACCATGGTTAGTGCTTTATTGTTAATAAATTTGTGTTTTCATGTATACATAGTTATTATGTAACTCTTAGTGTCATGTAGACATGCACAGCTGCACACAGGCACTGGTGAAGGTTATGAGATTCTCGTTTTCAAAATTTTCTTTTACAGAAAGAAGAAATTAAGTCTTCTGAAGATCGAGTGAAGAAACTGCTGGAAATGACTCCACCAAATGGGAAAGAGTTTCTTCGTAGTATTGAGCACATGTTAGAACGTGAAAAGAATTGGGTTAGTTTCTATCTCTTCTTCTCTTTCTTATATTTCCCTTAGAGTTATGATGATAGTTGAGTAACTAAGTTCTTATTTCTTTTTCTTTTTATTTTTTTCTTTTCTAAAATATATGGCCCTAGGTGTGGTGGAAACGTGATGGCTGCCCCCCATTTGAGAAGCAACCAATAGAGAAGAAAACAGTTCAAGATGGAGTTAAGAAGCGGTATGCTAGTTTATGCTAGCTTCAATCTTCTACTTTCTTCACGTGATTTGCAAACTGATGACAAATTTGCATTTTATGATGTGATTCTCTAATGAAATATCATCTTTTTCAATCATCTAGTAGGCCAAGATGGAGGATGGGGAATAAAGAGCTTTCACAGTTGTGGAAGTGGGCTGACCAGAATCCGGTTTGTGCCACAAATTAACTACTTCTGATTTTCTGGTGGTGCTGTCTTTTTTTGACATGTGAAGAATGTGAACATCAGAATTTCTATATGGTTTTCATTACTGGAGGATCCTGCATCATTTTTTTTTTCTAACTTTTCTATAATATTCATTTTATTTTTTAAACTTCATCAAGGAATTTCGTCTCATAAACTTACTTTGATGCCTATGAATAATCATTTCTGTGTGAAATTCTTTTTGACTTGTCCAGAATGCTTTGACTGATCCCCAACGTGTTAGGACTCCTGCCATCACCGATTACTGGAAACCCTTGGCTGAAGATGTAAGCACTCTAAAGATTTGCTGAATAAGGAGATGTTTACTAGCATTTTTTATTTTTTCTTTCTTTTTTTCCTTCAGTTGGTTATATTGACATTTTTTTCATTGTGTCAGTTCTTTGAATAAATTTGTTTCTTTCTTTCAATTACAGATGGATGAGGCTGCAGGAATAGAAGCAGAATATCACCACAAGAACAACAGGGTATGTTCTGGTTCTTTCAACTTTATACAGAACAGCTGCACACAGTCACAATTAGGTAGTATGACCTGCTTCTAGCTAACTATGAAATCTAACCCCCTGCCTCTCCTGGAAATTTGGCTCTTTCTTTCATAAGGCTGTCACTGGATTAGACTATATCCCTTACCCAGAAAGGGAGGGGAAAAATGAGACGAGCTTTGATGTATCCTTTCATACTTGGTATATTGTTCTTATCAATTTTAATTGTAGGTCTATTGCTGGAAGGGTCTCCGCTATTCAGCTCGGCAAGATTTGGAAGGGTTTTCTAGAGTATGATTCATTCACACAACCAATAGATTTTAACATATATTAACTTAGCCTAATGAAAATTTATGTGGTTTTCTCTCAGTTTACTGAACATGGGATTGAAGGAGTTGTACCTTTTGAACTTCTTCCACCTGAAGTACGATCAAAGTTCCAAGGTAAACCAAACGACAGGACAAAACGTGCCAAAAAGGAAGATACAAAGAGTGCCTCTAATCAGGTTGAAGAAAATCAGGTATCTTAAGCAACTTTATCTTTGGAAGTGTTTATGTTCATTTCTCATTTCCCTGATATTGTAAGGGTTCAAAAGTGAAATTTTGTGAATGCATTGTACTGTTACAGTCAAACTTTTTCCAATTCGAGGATAGTGATTTATCTTCTTTTAATCTGGTGTAGATTGCAACACCTGCAAGTGAGAATGATGCAGAAGGAATCAGAGCAGAGGTTGAAACCTCTGCAGCACCAATGGACACCGATGCCTTGGCTGTGAGTGGCAATATTTCCCAGGGTGAGGCTGGCACACCAACACCAGATGAACAAAAGCATAGCTCCGACACAGATGTAGGTCAAGAGGCTGGCCAGTTAGAAGCAGATGCTGAAGTAGATGCAGGGGTGATAGATGGAGAGACAGACGCAGAGGTCGAGATAGATGCTGCGGGATGAGATTAACTCTGGTCTTGTTAACTAGAAAACAAAATATCCAAAATACCAATTTACTATTGTAACATATTAGTATTAGAAAATTGAAGTTCTTTTTTTTTTTTTTTAATCTTTGACTTTCTATCTTTTTTGAGATGCTCACAATTTCTTTATAATGGATATTAATGGTGGTGCGTGGGGTTAAGTGGTGCTTTTACAAAGTCGCTATTAGCTAAATCATTACATTTTATGACTGTTATAATCTATCCGCTGCCACTTGATTCAAGTTATTTTTGTTTTACACCAAAAATCAGAACATTTAAAATTTCCCAAACCTTCTTTCTTGAGCCATTTTGCATCCATCAACTAAGTAATCTTTAGATCCAATCCAACACCTCCCATAAACCTAACTCTCTAGACTTCTATCTAGCCTAATTCACTGTTTATGAAGCCAGCGGAGATGATGAAGAAATGGAAGAAACCCCCATTCTGTGGATCAAGCCTAGGCAAAGTGGTGAAAATGCATCAGACTTTTCTAAAGTGTTGTATTATGTTTATGGATATAAGTTCATACTCATGAAATTTGGTTGTTCTTTTATTGGTGGATGCAGTATAACTTAATAATTTAAATACAATAAGTTTAGTTTAATAAAAAAAATCTAAATATTTGAATCAATTACACTATTTCAAATAATAATAATAATAATAAAATTAATTACCTTTGTTTATAATCAAAAGGCAAAGTTGGGTCTGGGAAAGAAGGCCGAGTTGGATTGGGTCATCCAACAAGGACCCTCATGGTTCGAATCTTCTGCTTGGTTCCCGAGTCTTTTAATTTCTGTGGAAGTTTTTAGCACGCAGCAAACCAAAAGAAGTCTTTAAAGCAGGTAATAATGACAAGACCAAACCACACTCGTCAATGACTTTGAAACCAACAGAGTTCAAATCTTCTGCTTGGTTCCGGTTCTTGTTTAATATATGCCACTGTCCACCTCTTTTCTGTTGCAGAAAGCATGAAGAATTCCCTTTCAAGCTGCGTCATCCATGTGCTAAGAAATTTCAATGCATTCTCTCCTCCTATGGCACTTCAACTTTTATTTTCTGCAAAATCACAACTCACAAGACACAAATTAACCAATATCTGAGAGAACTCGTCATCAGTTCTGAATAGTTTTTCCACTTTTTTTTTTTTTTTTTTCAAACTTAGGAGAATTTTTGGGGATGGAGAAGCAGTGCCTGAATATTAAATCCAAAATTTCACGTTTAACACTTTGCATAAAAGGAGTGACCACTAAAACCACCTAGTCGTGGATAATTTTTTTTTTATCTTAATTATATAATAAAAGATAATTATCTTTTATTATTTATTCAACTACATTTTCATACTATGTAATTTAAATTTAAAATATTTTATTTAAAAAAAAAATATTGAAGTATTTAAATTTTTGACAGTTTTCCAATTTCTTGAATATGTTTTAAGTAAATTTTTCTATACGTGTTTTCTTGACGAATGCCCACTTTTTTATTTATTATTATTATTTTTCTGATCAGCGGTTATTGCTACTGTTGCCCTCCTGTCCTGTCATGTCCTTCTCATATCATAATCCTAATCCCATTCGTTATCCACAAAGTACGTTTCCCAAAGCACAACTGCCTCCTAACACGTGTACTGCAATTGAATTCAGTTCATGCCGGTCTGCCACGTGTTTCGAACG